GATTTGGGTGTATATATATTTCTTCAGTGATTTGTGAATATTTCGTAGATTTATGTGTCCTAGATACTCAAGACGCGCGAAATTGCGCTGGTTTTCTGTTCGAGAGAAATAAAAAAAATGAGGCGCGCACAATTTTCATTTTCCTCGATTTTGTACGCTATACGTTTTCATTTCTTCGTCATCGCATTTGCCATTTCGCCTTGTTCTCTCTTTCTCTATCTTCGTCCAAGGTTTTGACAATACGTATTTTGCCTTTTGAATAAATATTTGAATTAAAGCACATTTCCATTTTTCGTTCTTCTGCACACATTTAATATATTATATCGCATTTCTGGTGTGCTTCATTTTCGCACAACACGTATTATAAACGTATATATATTGAATTTGTGTGGCTTTAAATAGAGTAGAACTCATGACACAAACCCATCATATTATTCGTTTTTCTTTTTATTTCGTTTGTTGTACTTCTGTTGTTGTGAGTTTTTTTTTTTCAAAAGAAAATTGGATTTAAATGTAGGAAGCTGTGCAAAAAAATAATTATTGGCAAAAAGAATGCCGATGAGTTCCTTTGCCCCGACGACCGTACAAAGTCCATATAGACATATTTTCTTTTAAAAACAACATAGACCGAGTTGATAATACAACGCGGACGGTTTATTTCATTAAAGAAAAAATATGACAGTAATGAGGGAAAAAATGTCAATGAAATATGCAATTAATGCTGAACAAACGAAGAATGATGTTCTGGAATTGAAAGGAATACAGTAAAGAATTTTTTGTTGAAGCTCTTTTTGAACGGCAATGTTGATTAGAGATGCATATACTGTATCAAGAAGAACCACATGCCATTTCTCAACGGCACACATCTAATGGAATAGTTTTGAGTTTTTGTTCTTTTTATTGAATGAAGAACAAAAAATAAAATGGCACAGACACACACACACACACACACAGCGAGAGAGTGGCAGCCTGTTCTTGTGTCCTGTAGCGAGCGTCTAAAGTGTGGCAAATGTGCGCATGCATGTTGCATTGGCTGGTTTTGATCTTCAATGTGCCCATTTGTTTCAAGTACTCTGTTTGCATGACCATTGTAATTTTTCAATGGACACACATGAACAAAATGAAAAAAGAACAAAGTTTCATAACTCCGACTGTGAAGTGACGAGCGACCGCTTCAGATTATAATGAATAGAATTTACTGTTCCAAATGCATCGTCTTTATCGAACAACATTTGTTAGCAATATAGAGAAATTGTGATTTTTTTTCTTTCTCTCTCTCTTTCTCAGACACTGTATTTCTTCTTTTGTTTCGTTAAAGTTTTTCTTCCTATTGTATGCTTGTCGCGTCGAGAACAAGTATTTCATAACGTTTTATTATCATTTTTTTTTTGTTCGACTTTTGCCTTGTGATATTTCCTCTTTTTCTCTATCTATTTAACAGCTAATGAAATAGAACGAATTGAATTGCGCGGGCAAACACCATCGAAACCGTCCACTTCTAAATCGGGCATGTTGCTACGTCAATCGTTTGTCTTGTCGTGAATGCAATGAGTCTATCGTTTTGTTCAGTAGTGAGAAGAAATATTCATTTTGATATATTTCGTCGACCGTTTATTTTTTTCTATATATTTTATTTATCTCATTTCTTTTGTCATTTGTGTGTGTGTGTGCATTTGTTCGCATGTTGCATGGATTTTATGCCGTTTGATACTTATAATTTGTGTGTCTACGTTTTCTTCTTTCTTCGGATGTATATTTTCATCGGTAAGTGTACAGCAAATGAAGTAACAAAAATAATACAAGAAACGGATATCGGCAGATGTTATTAATTGAACTCAACTTAAAAACCTAACTGAATGATGCACAAAACAAAAACAACAACAAAATATTGTAAGAAAATGAACACGTTGTGTTCAACGATGCGCACAAAAATATATATCTACTCCAAACAAAATGTTCTACACGAAATGACAACGGAACATAGCATAGCTGGCACAAGTACACAGCAAATTTTAAGAAAAGAAGACGACTGAGAGACACAGAGAGTGAGAGAGTAATGAGAAGAAATCATCAACAAAACAAACGAAACGAATGGATGATGCACATACAACATCTTTTTGTTGTTATCTCTTGTTGCTTCTTCTTATGGTTTTGTTGTTTTCTGGTGTGTTTCATCGTTTTTCTTCTTTGTTCAACAGATGAGTGCAGACGATGAATGAGCATCACTGACAAAGTGAAATATGTTCTCCAAGGCACTGTCAAATGTGTCAAATTGTGAGATAAGCGAGCGCAAAAAAGTCGTAATCGTTTAATCTATTCTAATGCGCAAAACTCCAATAATAAAACCACTTGTACGGTGTGTGTGCAACCGTTTTCAAACATCCAACGAGCACTTTGCCATTGGCATGCAGTTGTTGTGTGAGACGTCTCTTCTTTCCACAATTCTTTTATTTATTTGATTGCTTGCATCAGATAATTGTTCGAATGCAATTGCATTCGCAACACACTGACCATTTTTATGTGCACACCATAGCGTTGCACTTTACAAAGTGACATTGAATTGCCCTTTCTCTCGAACACCACAAAAACGAAACGAAAGAATGTGTGAAAATATAAAAAACCGTTGATGAACGGCATAGAAAATCGCTTTAACATGGAAAAGTCCATTAAATCACGTTAATTAACAAAAAAAGAACACACAAACACATTTGAGCACAATGATTTTTCTTCTATTTTTAACGAACTTTCTAACCAAGTTTTTGTTCTTCGAAATTCGAATCTATTTGAAATTGTCGATTGAGTGCGTTCTACATTGTAAAAACGTTAACTTATTGTCTTTGGCATTAAACGTAAACTCTCGGATTTTTGACAATCAATGCACAAACGCAACCGCGTTAAAATGTCACTTAGCACCGCTTAGCACACACAACAAAAAAAAAAAAACTAGGTTAGAAAATCACGTCATCAATTTTCTTATCGCATTTATTGTTATTTATTTATTATAAATCGTTGTTGGTGTTAGTAACATCGTCTCCACTTGTTATATTACATCGTTATTGTTTAAAGTTAAATTCAAAATGAATTGGATTGTGGAATTTGAAAATCAGCTTTTGATTCGAATACGAAATGAGTTGCTTTCAATGGCTGACCAGTTGATTGCTCGTGCAAGCCAAATAAATGTTATTTTACGTGAACGAAATAGCAATAATCGTGAAGCGGATGATAGGAGTGACAATGGAACGGATGCCGTAGCTACATCGATCGAAGGTGAAAACAATGTGTCGCAGGAAGATGGCAGCGGAGAAACCATGTCCGATATTTTGAATCTAACCAATTATGAATCCGTTGATATGGACCACAATGATAGCAGCGACAGTGAATTAGGATTTAGTTCACTTGATCTAACCGCAATACCATCAGATATATCGGATCTCTCCGACTTTTGAAGAGATTTAATTACATCGTTCCATGAATGAATCATTAACACATCAACTTGTTAAAAAAATCGATATCAAACACACGTACAGCATTCACATATCAAAACATAAGAAGAAAAAAAAATTGTTATTGCTCCCATTGAAAGTTGAGAGCGTATTAAAGATGTTTATTTATAGAAAAAAAGTTATTTGCATTTCATGTTGTGTGTGTGTGTGAAAAGTAATTTAATGTTCTTTAATACTTTGCATCGAATCAGAAAATAAATATTGAAAAGCGATTTACGTTGTTGCGAAAAGGCATATGTGTTTTTTATTTCTTTTTATTGTTGTTGAAAAGCCAAAACGAAACGCACTCGGTTTCGATGTGGAAACATTTACCCAATAAAAATATGTGAGTATGTTGCGATCAGTTTATTAGAATTATTTTATGGAAAGAGAGAAGTAAAGTGCTTTGTACGGTGCATAAAGAGAAGACACAAATGTACAATGCACGCATGTACGGCTGCAAAATTGTCGGACAACAGCAACAAAAAGTGACTAAGTCTATTGAAAAGTAGCCGCATTTTAAATGCTAACAATTCAATTCTGCACTTTGCGAATGCGAATAACTCATTTTATTAGTGGACATGCTAGTAGTCGGGCTAGAGACAGATATACACTATGCGCCACCGTTTTTAACTCTTTCCGCTTATTTTGAATGACCACTTGGTCATTTTGTCGCGGCAATTTTGCAATGATTTTCCTTCATATTCGCGGTCTCATATCGAATTCTGTGTTCTCTCTCTTCATGTTACATTGAATTCAATGCGTGTACGGGTTTGTTGTTGTCTACTGAACATGAATTACGCAAAACAAATAATAAAAAAAAGAATTCTTGTTCCACACACCGCACGTAACCGCCATTTTTTTCAACTGCATGCCAGCGTATGTGTACACATTAGCATGTGAAATCAACATAAATATAAAACAACTCAACCAGTTGTCACTCGAAACCCTCAAAATGTGAATCGTCGTATCGAATGCGTTCATTTTCCTTTATTTTCGTGTGTTTCTTGTGCTCACTCATTCCCTCTCTCACTCTTTCTTTCTCGCTCTCTTACTCTACATTCGTGTTCAAATGTACACACAAAAAAACACAATGCAGCGTGCATTCTATTGGATATAATATGGAAATACATCGCGATGAATATCAATAGGATTGAATGGAAATCGAAACAATTGCTGCGTAACAAAAATCATTTTTTTCTCTCTCTCTCTTTGTTATGCTTTTATTTCTTCGTTGTCGTTTGGATCGGTCTATTAATTGATCGACAATTCAAATTTCTATAGACAATTTAACAGCCACGACACCAATACTATAATTGATAGTACATTTTTTTGTTTTGTTTCTTTTTTTATTGTCGTCAATTTTGATTTCGAAAATAAAAGAGTCAATGGAATTTAAATTTCATGCTATTGAATAAACATTGTTTCCAAGGCGTATGTATTTAATTTGTGTGTTTCATTTTCGAATAGATTAAAAAAAAAGTAGGAGAAGCATTTTTTTATGATTATTATACTTACATTCTGTGTTGGCTTCTGCATTTTGGTATTCTCAGTGTTCCCGACTTGTTCTCGTTCCAAAGCTACACAATTTATTAGGCCATAACTTTTTCTCTCGCTCGATACCGTTCGGAAACTAGTAGAATGTTGGGATTATAGTCATATTTTTCGATAGTGACAGTCGTTCAATTCCTTCTTTTCAAGACCTGAATTGTTTTTCACGTTGACGATTGTCACCGACAACCAATTTATTCTATCACAATTTGTCGTTATGTTTCTTTTCTTTTACCTCTGAACAAGAGGACTACCGAAAACAAACTACTTAATCTCTTTCTGTTTTTATAACTTTTGTTACGATTCTTGTTTTTGGGGTGTGTATCACCAAAGAGTTTTTCACTTTTTGTGCGATGCAGTCAATTTTTTCAGTTGTTGTTCAACACATACACGCACTTCGGTACTAGTACTAGTTTTTTTTTACTTCGTCGTCTTCAATGGGATGTGTTTTCTAAGCAATTGTGTGCCGAATGTACGACATTCCTTTGTCTGACATCTGACATTATGTTCAAATATAAGCTCATCATTTGCACTGGCACTGAGCAATCAGATGTGCGCGAATCATATCCATTCGATATATGTGTGAATTCGTCTACAATGTCTGTGATGTGTGATTAAATTCCTGTCTTGTTTTCACACCGATTGACTTCAACGATGTTTCGTGATTTTTAGCAAGCACACACAACACGAAAAACTAAAAACAGCCAATTATGTAAGAGTTTATATGATCAAATGGAAAATGTATTCACTTGCAATTAAAATGTATAATCATATTGATTTTCATTCCGACCAAATGTCATCGGTCAGCAAGACGAAAAGGGTAATATTATATGCTGCATACGCATACATGCACAATACACCCAGTTTTTGCAATGTTCAAACGATGATAAACTGTGTCAATTGCCGTCAATGTGTTGACGACTCGAATTTTCCATTTGGCACCAAAGCCAAAAAGTACAGCAAAAAATCGTCTTTTATCTTGCACCGTACAAGAAAAATCAATTCAAATCACATGAATTTTTACACACATTAAACCGAAACAATGTGTGATTAGATACGAAGTGGGAAAAAAGAATTGTTGTTAAAACACACACGATAATACATAAGATAAATAACAAACATTCCAAAGTCATTCATCAAATGATGATGCGATAATCATAAAAAAAATAGAATTTTAGTAAACACATCGCACACACCAAAATCGTTGTATATTACAATTGTTTTGTAAAAAAAAATGTCAATTAATCACACACATCGAATGTATTTGCAAACATTGTCTTTTATCTGCGTTTTTTTAAATCGAAAATTCACAATTGCACACTTGAAGAATGAATCATGAAGATCGTAAAGACAAATTAAAACCGATTGATAAATAAACAAGTACTTAAATGAATAGAAACGAAAGAACGCGATACACGAAAAAAACAACAGAAAATCCACAAAAATATATTAGAGTCTCTCGCGCGACGACGACAACACCACGGATGCTTAAATATGTGCTATCTGTCCGATGTCTTCAAACAAACTCTTCGACATATGTGAAAGTATCAAATTCACTGGCAAACTGCGCTACGATACTCACACACTACACTCAATTTCAACTACTACAATAAACGACGTACAGGCAGGGCGCTCAATTTCATTTATCTCCAATGCATTCAACGGTGCCGAGAGCGCGATATGAATCGACAAAATATTGTGTGTATGCTTTTTTGGGAGAAGCCTGTGTGTACTCTGTACGTATGACACACGCATTCTCTGTCTCTCTCCCTATATCCATTCTTAATTCTCGCTCTGCTCTCTGCACATATATTTACACACTCTCTCGCTCTCTCTCTCTCTTCAGTTTATTTTATTTTGCGGCTGTCGTTCATTTTGGTGAATTATGAAACCCTGCGCTCCTCAATCGATTTTGACTGTATAACAGTTTATCGCATGACTTATAAAATAAACTCAGCTCATGGATAATTTTTTCTGTTTTGTTCTTTCCTCTGAATTTATCTTCTTTCTTTGAAATTTATTTTGAAAACAATTTTTTATGCGCTTTTCTTTCTTTTTTACATTCATTTAATTTCATTTAAAAGAAAATTAAAGAGAAGTTCAATGTTCATATGTATTGAACCCTACGCTCAACTGCTGCAACTTCAATTGCAATAATATTATTTTCAAACTGCTAGAAATAAACAACATTTGACAGATAAAATAACAAATTCTCACATTAATCAAAACAAAATCACACTAATTTCCAAATTCGTTTCGTATTTTGATTGAAAACCGTTGTGAAAATGTCTCTGTATTGTAGCTACAAAGATTGCGATAATAAGCATCGTTCATTTACGAGTAAAACATTCTTCAATTTGTAAGTAGCATCGAATTCAGATAAAACAGTATTTTTTTATTTTAAAAATTGTTTTTCTTAGGCCGAATGATGAGCGCCGTGATATTTGGATAAAAAATTCGGGAAATGAACGACTTAAAGATGTGCCCTCTTCCAGTCGACGGGTATTTTGTGAAGATCATTTCGATCCGAAATATTTGCGACGTCAATTTAATCGAGCATTGCTGCGGAAAGAAGCCATACCTTATCCGTATGGATCTGCTCCCCCAACTCAGGAACCAGATTCCGTAGAGATTGGTTTGTATTTTGGCATTTACTGTTTTTAAATTCAAAAGAAAACCATACGACCATCATAATAAAACCATGATTGAATGTTTACAATTGCAGAGTACATTGAAATGGGCGAAAGTGAAGAAGAGGAACAGGAACAGGAACAGGAACAGGAACAAAGCCAAACAGAATCAATTAAATCATCGGACGAAGTAGTTGTTTTGTTAAACCAAATGGTAAAGTTTCGATTATTCTCCGATTACTTATCGATTATTTTAAATTTTATTCTTTTCTTTTGTGATTCTCCCCTTAGGTAAAGTTTCGAGAGAGGACTCAACTTCAGTTCAAACAAAGTCCAAAGAAAAGAACGATAGAAAATGACGCAAATACCAAACCAGAAGAAAAAGAAGCAGAAAAGATGATCTTAAACGATTTAAAACGAAAACCGATAGAAAACTTGTTGCAAAGTCTTGAAGATGCAGACGATGAAATTAATTATATCTTATTAGAAGATAAAAGTCAAGATTCAATTGAACCGGAGGATAATGAACCGAACACAAGTAAAAAGATACGTATTGAAATTGAACAAAATCAATCGAATGGGATTAGTCAAGAGGAGAAAGTCGATAAAATTGTACAAAAATCAGGGACGCCAATTAAACCGGCTGTAATTGTGGCGAGAAATAATGTCGATGGAGTTGTATCGTCAAGTGAAACAGTTGATCGTAATAATGAAGAGACTTATTTTGCATTATCATTGGTTGGTATTTTAAAGCGATTACCACCCCATAAGAGAGCCATTGCAAAATGCCACATTTTAAGCTACTTGACTGAACTTGAATACGGCTCGAGCTCCCTTCCATAAATCATTTTTAAGATTGTAAAACAGAATTTGCATTGTAAGAAGACATTTGAATAAAAGTCATTCATAAATTTATGTTTTTGCTGTTGTATGAACTTCAACATGCATCATGAAATAAAATACATTGTTCTAAGCAACAACAAAAAAACTAAAGAAAAGAAAAACGAAGACTGCTTTGTGTAATGTGTTCATCAAATGTAAAAGAATTTGAATTATCTATGTGTCTAATGTAAAAAAAAATGAGTACGGTAAGTATGCAGAAAAGGGCATAAATGTATGAAGAATCATTATTTTCAGAGGCCGGTCATTAAACATCATTACGGCAAGCGCTTTGCTTGTGCTCATTTCACGTAAGAACATTATATATGTATATAGACCGTTTGCCGTATTTGTTGAATACGTGACTCGTTCGTTGCATTTCACAAGCACATGAAATTCATCATGATGTACGCGATGTGTGGTTCGGCGTACGTTTGATTGAAATGACGAAAACGGGTTGTTGAAATTTTGAGGAATACAGAGATGAGCATGAATTAACATGTTCAAAGCCGTTTCCCGTTCGTATGAGGTAATCGAATTTGATGCCATATTTCCCCCTTCAATACAATATACACAACAATCGAGCGACCCATAATAACTGTTCAGTTGTTGGTTACCATGTGCCTATTTCGATTTTCGATGTATTAGTAGCGAAATACTTGCTTGATACACACGAAATCGCTGAATTTAAACTTAAATTCAACACCGCAAATACTTGATATTGTTTGAGTTAAAAATGAACGTTGAATACTCAATGCAAATGACCGATTTAAGCTTCCAATCGTATTTATAATTGATAACCTTTAATAACAAAGCGCATCAACAATTGCGTCAAAATTTCGACAGATATAAAGAATGCGTAGTATAGTATATATAATTTTTTTGATTTTTGCTGTACGAAAAGTGCTGTGGTGTGCAAAAGAGAAAAATTGGCATTGTATTTGCTGGAAGTGTTTGAAAGGGATGAATATAGCAAGAAATACAAGCGGTACGAAAGCAACAACAACCTAGGTCCGCATCATAATTCCACAAATGCTGTCGTCGACAACAATGGAAATGATATTAGGTTTTTTTTTTCTCATTTATTCTTGTTAAATGTGTACTGTATATTCTTGGCTGCTGTTGCTGCAACGGCAGCGTATTCACGAAACTGGAGTCGGAGATGTTCGGTGGTGTTTCCGAAATCTAAAGCGGCCGTACGGCATTTTCAGATATGTTTTGTTTCTTTCGAACACAACCGGTTCTAATATCACTCCATCACTTTCGGCACAAACCAATGTTGTACAATGAACCAATCCAATTCGATACACACCAATACACTCGCATTCGTTTAACGTATAATTTAACACAGTATGCGCGCGTGTGTATGCATATATTTGAAGCATTTTTTTTCTCCATTTATTGAGTTTTTCTTGCATCTCATCCACTCTGTATTATGATTTGCTGGCAGCTGACTCATTCTATCCAAGCGATGGCATTGTGGCGGCAATTCGTCACATAGAATTTTTTTTATTTGTGCAAGTGTGTTGTTGCTTGCTTGTTATTCTTACTGAAGCAACATTTCCAATTTCCAACGCGCGCGTCCATTTATCGATGTATGCGTGTGTATCGGTGTGTGAATGTGTATGTGAACGACCAAACGGGGAGAAAACGGCAGTCAGTTCGTGTAGCGCAATAATCGTTCTCAGTCGGCGTCTATCTTCAAGCAGATCAAGTTCTCGTAAAAGATCAAGTTCTTGTGCTCTTGCAAATTCTCTGTGTGATTTTAATCAAATAACTTATAACAAATCTCTATTTAATTTTGCTTAACAAAACTCAAAAAAATCCGTAAAAATGGCAGATGTGACAGAAGCAGTTGAACAAAAGTGAGTAACACAAAAAAAAGTATTAATTTATTAGAAACACAAGGACTAGTTTAATCCAGACAGAGAGAAAAAAAAAATGAGTTTTCGTAGAATTTTTTTTTTATTTGAATTCCGCGAAAAATATGTATTACATTGTTTAACCAATAAATATTTCGTACGAATGTTGATGATTTTGTTGGTGACGGTTTCATGATGATTGCTTGTTGAGAAAGAGAGTACAGCAAAAATAAGCGAACCGCAGAAGCGAATATGAAGAAGAGACGTGCTTTTTGTTGTTGCTATTTTTTTTGTGTTGTTCTTGTTGTACTGCTGCTTCTGCAGTACATAGAGAAATATAGCTTTGTTTTTTGGCGGCAATATGGCGTCGGTTGCACCGAAAAAATTTTTTAACTTTTTCATAATATAATGCGATCATAATTATTAATTAACGGGAAAAAAAGCATGTGAAAAAAAAACGGATCAAAAATCATTTGAAAATTAAATCGGCTCGGATTTCGCATCATTTGAATATACATCATTTACTGTATTTTTGGGTAAATGACGCGCACCGAACACGTTTCTTTTTCTCTTCTTCTCCTCACTTGTAGCCTTTATATCTTTTGCGTCTCATTCTTTCTCATTCTGTCCCGTTTCGCTTCTCCACCACATCTCTTCTGTGTGTCTCGCGCGCGCGTTTGCCTATGTGCTCGTGTGTATGTGCTTCGGGTCGGTGTGTATTGTAGCCAGTTCAAGTCAGTATATTTTGTTGGAGTTTGTTCGCATTTAACGATATTCGTTCGTTCGTTGCTTTTGGTTCTTTTCGGAACGAAAGCAAAAAAAAAATACACTTGATTCGGAATGTGTTTTGTGTTTATGTACGTTTCTCAAGTTTTAATAGCACGGCTCCAAATAAAATGGCGTCCCATTTTTTTCCTTATTAATTTGTATGCATTTAAAATGATTTTATGCGACGTAATGAACGATAAATCAAACAATTTAATGTGAAGCGTTCTTCAAATGTTGTTATTGGTCAAATGACCGCCAAAAAAAGTGCATTTTTCAAATTCAATCATTCAGCACACACATTATCAACACACATTCGCGATAAAATGATTTTTTTTTACCTTCAGCTCTTTTTTTTTCAATTCAAATTATGATGTATGCGAATAACCGTTGAATTAGTTTCATTTTATACCATTTCGCTTGATGGTGGCGCCACTAATCGCAGCGTCGATTCTCGTATTTTCTTTTTCCTCTATTCAGTATGTATTCTTCTATTCTTCACCTCTTCTCCTCTTGAGCGTGAGTTTTTCCCTCTTGTATAATCGAATAGAGTGTGCATTTGTATAGGTGTGTGCGGTGTGTGTGTATGTATGATGCTATCGTTTTGGATGGAAACGAATGTGATGTGAGCAAGATGAAGGAGGAATAAAATGCACAGTTTTCCGTTTAGAAACCGCTTCTTCTCTGTATGAAAGCAATCATCATTACCGTCATCATCATCATCATTGAAGACTGTAGAAAATATAAAATGTTTCTCTCTAGTTCGCGTAACATATAAATGCAATTGAATGTTGAATTACATGCGATGCGAGTGAGAAAGAGCGTGAGTGTATGTGAGTGTACGTATGAATGTATTTTCTGTTGGTGGTTTGTTTAAAAGAGCATCGTTTGTTCAACGAAAAAAAAATGCAAAGAAAATAAATGCTGATGACGGTGATGATGACTGAAGAAGTCAATTCAAAAACGTTTTTGCGTGCAAAATGCTATTGCAAAATCGTAACGGTAAAACGTCATGGCATTTTGAATTTCAGAGAAATTCTTTGTGTTACATTTGTTCAGCACATTCTTAATATTATAATATCGCTCTGATTGTTTGTAGGCTTGCTCAAGCAAAGCCTAGCAATTTGTTCGCTATTGTTTTCACACTTAACCATTTGGAACTGAACAAACATTTTATTCTTTCTCGTAACAACAAAGTGATAACTGTTTATACACCGTTCAAATGCATTTTTTAAACAAAACAATATCGAGAAATCGAAAACGCTGATACAGAAAAAATGGAAACGTTGACCATATATATGTGTATCAAATATAAAAATGATTAAAAATATCTTTTTGCGCTTCGAAATTAATATTTTTTGCACACCACACAAAATTCTCTCCGGCAAACGCTGAGCCAAGCACAATCCATCGTCTCAAATTCATTGCATTTCATTTACACACCATTAAAGCATACACACACACGAGCGCGCGCGCGCACGTTGTCTATTTTCGTTTTGAAAATATGTCTCATCGGAATATTTTACCTGATTTTCTTTCAAATTTTTTTCTTTCTCCCTCCTTCTGTTCTGCTTCAGATTTTGCGCCAAATGTCAAGCGATTCACAGCATGGCTCATTTTATTTTAGTTTTCTTTCAAGAACCAAGACTTTTCTTCATTCAAAACGATCAAATCCCATTTGTCAATGACAGACAATGGGAAAATAGTTGAAAAAAAAAACGTTTTTACTTTACGATTTGGTCGTAAAACTGCAGTCAGTTCCAAAAACAACAACAAAAATGAAATAGACGCTACGGATAATCCGTTGAAAAAAACAGAGTTTCGAATGAAACCGAGAGAGACAAAACGAGGGGCTAAAGTAAATGACATGCAGCTGTCGTTGGTTTTAGTGCATGTGCTCAATTATCATCGACGTACTTCCTTCTCTTCTTTACTTCAAGGCATCTTTCGAGCACATGGCAACTGTCTCAATTGTGCGGCAATGTGCACACATTTTTTGTTCGTTTATGCCATTTTATTGTGCACAATATACTTTTTTTTTGCCATTGTCAATTTCATTGTAATCTTTGCGAATAACAAAATGAATATATCCACGCGTCCTTTGGCTATACAAATATGGTCTATCTTTAGAAGTTTGTTTGAAATAAAGCCATTTGTACAAATAAAATTGCCCAATGTCATTTTGGTTCTGCTTTCACTTAAATCGCGTGAATTCAATTATCACTTGGTTCTAACAGAAAATTCAGGTTTTTCGTACCGAATTCGTTAAATTCGAAATTCAAATTATTTGCATATGTGTGTGTGGTTTTTTATTCTTCTTTCTTTTGTTGTTTGCACATGCTGCCGCAAAACAACGCAAAATTATAAACACCGCATTCGCATCATTTCGTCTGTATTACTACGTTTCGAATTTCAAGCGTGGTTCACATTAAACAAACTTATGTGCTTCTGCTTCGCTCTCTCTCTCTCATTCTCTCTCTATTTATTTAATTCGTGAATGTTCAGCGAATTACTTAAGCGCGAATCATACATGGAACACAGTATGTGTGCGTGTGAATGCGGCAACGTTTAACTGGCACACATTTAGCATTCATTTTATGAGCTCATAAACAGCAATAGTTGCATGAATAAAAAGAGAGCAAAAAAACTTACATTAATGCAATTCAGAAAGGGAAAAATACAAAGAACGAGAAAAAAACGCACTCATTTTGTGCATAATAAAACTTGTTGCTTTTGTTTTTATTTATACGATTTTGACACATATAAATAAATCGTAACCACTGATTACAGTCGTTTGGAATGTTTAGTAACAGTTTTGCTCGTAAGTATGAGAGAAAACGTTTCACTGTTTACGTTGCGATCGAAGCAGAAGAGAAAAGGAAACATTCCGGAAATGTTTTCTAAATAAAACGAAATTATTCTGAACAAGGCAACTCTCTCATAATAATAATCATCATCATCATCATCGGCATCATCGCATTTCGGCAAAAATGATTTCTTTGAAGTGGACATACCGAAAACAGTTCTGAAAATTTTCCATTGCCGAAAAATTCGGTTGGTTGCCGGGTGTAAAAGAGCGGGTTTTGCAGGGAACGAGCATGTCTATTGCTTTTTTGCGCCCGAAAATATATATATGTATATCATTTTAACGACAACATTTTGGGCTATGCTATGTATTGAAAATTGTACATAGCGTGCACAAGCGCTTTTGCGTTGGGCCAAACCATTCAAAGCAATGGGATAGAACAGCTGAATATGATAAACATCTCCTGCTCCAACCAACAGTAACAGCAAACAGCCAAATGAATTGATACGCATTACGATGCGGATCACATAGAGAATATGTATTGTGCTACGCGCACGCTATTCCAAATCCAAATGCTGTGTATGTTTATTGTGACGCCAAAATTTGAAACCACGCTGTAATTTTCCAGAAACTTCAGTATCGTTATTTGTGATACACACTCACACACACATTCAAGCATGTACAGTCATTGGCAAAATGCCATGTTTGTTTGTACGCACATGTGGTTGTAAAAGTGAATAAATCGATGCTACCAAAGCATCGTTACAAATTGAACCGCCAAAATGAATATGGTTACATGTGGTTGTGTGTGTGTCGGCATATACATAAAACATAAGTAAATTGTATCGAGTAGCGTACGCTGAAAAGTTTTCCTCATTTTCTTCGTCTGCTCTGTGTTTTTTTGTTCACAACATATTGCGCAAAAGCGATCGCTTGCAAATGAATGATTGTCGTTTCTTCTTTTTTTGTTCAATACATACATACACACATGGTTCCATGTGTATGCCGGGATGAATGTTGAGTGTTGTATATATATATATCGAATAGATAGTAATTAATTGCCAAAATGAGTTTTTGCGCTATTTTCTTTGGTTATTTACTTCTCCCTTTTAAACTGGATAACAAACGTGATTACTAATAATAAATCGTTTTTGTTTTGACTCTCTCTTTTTATCAAATAGCGAAACTCCAGTTGTCGAAAAGGAGGTCGTCGAAGTCGATGCCCCAAAGGTTGTTGACGAAGTCGAAAACGATGTTGCCGAAAAAGATGTCGCTGAAAAAGATGTCGAAGAAAGTGATGTCGCCGCCGAAAATGGTAACGGTGAAGAAGCCGCCGCTGAAAATGGTACCACAGAAGAAGTCAAATCGGCTGAAGAACCAGTTGATGTCCAAAATGGTGACAGTACCGGTAAGTAATTCGTCTTCAAAGACACAACACTCAAACCCACTTTATTCAAATCATCGTACATCTATTTTTAATGTTTGCGGCACATAAAGTACATACGACGTGTGTGTATATTGAACATTTTCCATTTTGGTTAGATTATCTTCCAGCACCGTATAATTTACAATCGAAACGCCTTTTATATGCTGGTCTCGTAAATCGTATCAAGAATCAACGCCGTTTGTTTGGTGTACTCTCTTTTTTTTATTACGTTCATGTTACTTATGATACGGTATTGTTGTTTATACAGCGAAAAAAAGATAGGTTCCCTACATCAAAGAGTGAAAGAATATATTGCGCAGCAAAAAATAATCAACCTAATTTCATTGCGATCAAATACACTGATTTTCATATGTACTGTGCTCACTAGTACTATTTCCAATTGAACGAAAAAAAAATTGTTAAGTTAGAAGAGAAAAAAAGGCACCCGAGTAATTTGCTCTTTCGGAAAGTCGCAATTAGCTGGTTCTTGCGTATTGTATAAACACAAGGCGATATGGTCGACTGCGCTCCATCGTTGAAAACCATTAAATTTTATTTTCCACTTTAAGAATGAAAAACTCAACGTGAGTTCAACGTACACAACACTTACTATATTATTTTTTTTCTGGAGTATACAAAAATAGCAGATATCTGTTGGATAACTTCTTTTTATATTATTATGGTAATATCCAGTGAAGAGAAGAAGTGGCTTTTGAAATCTAAGAACCAAAAATATAATCATCAATGATCTTTTTCGTTGGCCAAACAATGGTTTGCTACTCTTCTTTTTCATTCGCTTTGTCTCTCTCCGTTTCAAACACCTTGAAAAACACATCAAGTTCATTTACACCGAAACTGTAGCGTTGAAATGAAACTAAGACGAGCACGTACAATAAAGAATGTTTTGTATTTTATGCGTTTTGTAGACACAAAACCACAAGCAATTGCTTTCGTATACACAACGTGTCGAAGAAAAGAAAAAAAAATTCCATTACTTATTTTTGGAAATACACGAATCGTTGTCAAATGTACTGCCGCATAAATGTATTGAAATTCACAAGAAATTTAGGTCTTTGTCGCAAAAATTTGCTAATTTGTTTCTTTATCGTTTCTTTGAAAATGTTTAGAAGCTGCTCCAGAAGCCGTAAAGCGAAAAGCCGTCGAAGAAACCGATGCCGCTAAGGCCGATGAAGTTGTTCCCACACCAGAAAAGAAATCAAAGGTGGAGGAAGCCGCATCAAACGGTGCTGCCGAAGAAGTGGTTGCCTAAACTGGCTGACGAAATCAAATAAAAACACACACACACCACTTAATACACACAACTGACACATAAAATACAAAATAAAAAATACAACAAAAAAACAATCAACAATTGATAAAAATAACATCCATTACAGAATAAAAACCGAAGTTTAAACAATCCATCTCATTTTCAACAAAATTCTTATTCTTTTTTTTTTTAATTTTTGAAACAAAATCATGAATCGACCACAAAAATAAGCAGTTTCTTGTATTAGAAAAGAAGGGAAAAGATTAATAGACACATGAAGAAATGAAAAGAATAATATAGGAAAATATTTTTAGCAAAAAAACAAAACAAAATGGACAAAACATCTCTCAACACTTGTTAGAACACTTTATTTTTCTGTAATCGTGGACTCGATTCACTGTATTCATTCTTTTCGTTTTACATTCGAACTATTCGATTCATCCATTTAACAGATTTTATATTCATACACACAAACACACACCCACAAAAAATCATTACAAACAAATATCTTAACTCGTAAGAATCTAATTAAAAAAAAAAAACAAAGTAATTAATAAAGTAAATGATAAAAAAAAATGGAAAAGAGGAAAGTTTAAAAAAGTAAAATAAGTAAAGTAATAAATCAATTTGAATGAAAACAAACAACATACACACACACACATACACAAACAGAAAAAAAATGCGAGGTGGAAAAGAAAATCAAGAGCAAAACACAGTTTTTTCCGTTAAAATTAAGCGTATTTAGTGGATTTCCTGATTGATATACACATTAGTCATGAGTGGAATACATAAATATTCAATTTATATTTGAATTTGTACTTGCATCCTCCACACACACAAATACACACACAAACCACTAATCATCCTGTTCACGCACACACACTCATCGCACATACACATCATCATCATCATAATTACATTCATATTTCTCATGCGACACAAAACCGAAACGGACCACATTAACCATTGTCTTTTATCCATAGATTTTTATCTCTTCGATCAAAATTGTCGTGTTTCGAATCTATTTCAAATCGATAAAGAGCACATGGAAATGTTCGAGTTTCAATCATCAATTCGTTTCCATTGTTTGTGTTTCAAAACAATATCATTCATTCAATTGCACTTTTCACGTGAGATCATCAAAAAAGAAAAATCAATGTGCATCATTTTTCATGTGTGTTAAGCATAATGATTTGTTGTGTGGTGTTTAAAATAAATAAATGCGCGTTCGTTTGCTGACATTCAGTAATCAATCGAAATAGAACATATCTTACGATTTATTTTGTTTTTTAATCGCATTGAAAGAGCTTTGTGTTCAAACTCTTGCCAATTTCCAATCCATCTCCGAAACCGAATCCATCGATTCATTTACAAAGTTCGATTTTCATTTTGTTTTCATTTCAAATTTTGTTTATTAATTTATTCGATTTTATTTTTTGTGCTATTTTGCTGTTTTGTTCATATACTTCGATGTATATTATCTTTATACAAAGATACGAAAACAAACAAATATGACAAAAATGCTGCTTGAGCCTCGTCTCTTGGAAACGAAAACCAACCGAATTTTGAATTTTCTCTTGTTTTGAACGATTGAAATGTGCGCATCTCAATATTTGATCACTTGTTGGATTCTATTTATTTACGCCGAGACAAAGTGTGAGAAACAGAAAAACGTGTTTATATATGTGGTGTTTCAATTTTTCCACAGTCGCACATGTTAAAAGTATGATTATTGGTGTATAATTGCCACAATCTCTAAATAAATAAATAGAAACTTAGATCAAATATTCACGTGCCCTGTACTTACTTACGTATACGAACTTTATTTAGTTAAAGAAGAAAAAAAATTAAAAGATTAAACAAATACAGTAACGATGAAGAAGAAGAAGATGATGAAGAAAAAAGAAGAATAAAACCGTAAAACATCGATTTGTCTGGGATTTTTCTTTGTGTCTTTCTGTAATTCAAATGAAATTCTGTCAAATCGGAACCACGAAAAACAACCGTCTTATCTTTGCGGAAGTATTTGTGTTGAAAGAAGAGGTGAGTCTGTGAGTACTGCAATTCCAGTTGAAGTCGTTCATTCTTCTATTTGGATTGGTTTATTGTATTCCATTTGAACACAAAGCTCTATTTTTTGCTCTACTAGCAGTAGCAAACGATTAAAATGAAATGTTGCAATTGTTTGACACTGCACGCGATTCCCCAATGGAAACGCACTGATTTTCCACATTGTTCTCATTCTCATCAACCATTTTTTTGCTATGTGTGCAGACATTTCGCATGTTTTTCTCTCTCGCTCGCTCTATTTTTCGTTGGAAGTGTTGTAAACTGATTCTTAATCGAGAAAAAAAAAGAGTCGAATCGAAGTGACATGCAAGCGTGCGTGATTTTCGTAATTATTTTCGTCGGGATGCAACACAAGAAACATTCATGGGAATACTTGCACTAAAAAGCAAAAAAAAGCATTCATCACATCATTCATTTATTTAAAATATGTTTTGGGTCGAGCGCACGAAGAAGAAGACGTCAAGAATTGTATGACAGCACATTTTTTATTTTGGCGCAAATTTTTTTGTGTTCAATTTTAAAAGAGTGTGAGTATTTTGATCATTTCATGTTGTGACCACCTGTTATATCTCCTTCCAAAATAGTGCATACGAACTACTTTTCTTTATTCATCCAAGCCAAAATCACCTTCCTCAACACATATTCACATATTTAAAAAGAAACCGATACAGATTCTATTCTAATTGTTTATTCGCAGTGTATGAATATGTATGTGTTACTTAGGGGTTGTGTACAACCAGATTCAAATAAACCGAAAATAGATAACGGAAATACTCCGAATTGTTCATTTTGATGATGATTTTTGTTCCAAACACACATATACACAAAACACACAACTGATATAGTTCCGCAAGAACAAGAAAAATATATCAACTTTGTATATCCATAAACAATCAGTGGTCATATACAAACACATATACATATAAATGCGCCTTTTTTGCGTAATTGAAAGATATGAAAGAAAATGAAAGGAAACAAACAAAACAATAGACTAAAAAAAAGACAAGCCATTTTATTATGTATACAAAATTTGAATTGTACACAATTTCCATAAAATTTAAATGAAAAATAAATTGAAGTTTCAAACCAATTTTCAATATTGTGTTGTTCGCTCTATTCCCATTTCAGAATAATCAATAAACGTTCTGTTTATTTCGACCGAAAATGCCAGATGCTATTTTAAGGCAATTGTATCAGTCTTTCGTGTGTGAGATAAGAGAGGACTAGATATATATCTATCAACAGTGTATCTATCTCATATTTAGCCAAAAGTAACCGAATTAGCTTAATAAAACTTGTATATTTTTGTTGATGATTAGAGAAAATGAGCTTATGTATTGAGAATTCCGTTGGCTTATCGTGTTTCGCAATTCAACGAAATGATCGTGCTCGCCGTATTATCGTCATCATATTTACAAAAAAAATATTTACTAACCATATTAATGTGCAAAATTCAATACAAAGAAATCTACATGGGCAACACACAATTCCATCACATGCATTCGAGACATTTCACTTAAGAAAAGGGATCTGGATCATAAAAACCAAATTCTTGCAAACAAAAATCGAAGAAGAAAAAACTAAAACCAAATTCTTGGAAGCACCAAAGAAAATAACCATAACATCCGAATGCACTGGGTTGCTGCAAAACACGTATCACTGGCGCCCTCACTGTATTGCATAGTGAAGTAACTCAATAGTACGTGTGTGAAATGTGAAGATTTTTTCTCGCACGAACTAGATGGCGCTAATAACTAAGTGTCTTTGCAGCAATGGTGTGTCCGAATGTGAGAAAAAAGAAATATTTTTCGCAAACAGCGTGAACAAAATCTCTGTGTCCATTACATTCATCATGTTGAAAATGTCCAAACCGTGTCTCAATTCGATTTATACTCAAGCAACCAAAGAGAAACTGAATGTTAAAACTTTTGCTTTCGAGCAAATCGGCAGAATTTAAAAGAGTTCAGTGGTAGGTATGTCGATTCCAAATCGTTCACACACACACATACGGAACGTACGTCGTTGCTTTGTTCGATTCAACCGGCAAGCGCGGAGCTGTAGCGCAAACCATTTCGTATTTTATGTACGGTATACCTTATCCAATTTTCCCTGAATGTATTTCAATCTATTTGACTTGGTTTTTTTTCTTCTTCTTCTTCTTCCACTCGCTTTGTCTTCAATCAACTCTATATATCTACTCTCGGTCTGTTCGGTATGAGTATGTTTGTACTTTCGTACGAAAAAAAGACCATACCAACAATAAATGAAAACAAATTTTATATGTTGTTTTTTTTCTGCTTCTTCTTCAATTTCGAAATGGTTCAAATCTTTCAAATGGTAACTCATCATGGTCTATACTATATGGACGAGTATGTATGAATCTAAACGTAGCCCAATTGATTAACCAATGTGGATTATGTGTTACAATGCACTTTTTTTTGTTCATTCGAATAATGGGTATCGAAGAATCTCACGAAGGTGAGACCAATTTCGAGGGAAAAATGGAATTTTGAATTGACTTGAATCGATCTTTATTATGCTGATGAAACCGATGGGTTCAATGTTGCTGCTGTTGTTGCCACATTTATGACATTATTTGTGGTATAAAATCCAATTTACAGATTCATGTCGTTGAAACGACCGTCCCTCGATTCGCCAGCTATCAAATAGATGCTACTGAAGTACATACTGAAGTGAATCGATATTGCTTCATCATCGACACAAGCAGGAAGCTTGTGTTGCATTTTGCAAACATACAATTGCATTCCATCCATACATAATATATACAACGACATCCAGATCCAATAGAACTTAATTTTTTTTATTAGATATGTGTTGAGAAATTGATTTTTCTTCAAATGCCATCAACATTTATTATTCAAAGATGAAACGTGTTCTAATTGCATTCGGAGGTAACAAAAGGCGAATAAACATAAAAAAACACGAATAAGAGGATAGAAAATTGATTGGTTTTGCATGTTGACATTAGCGCATCGGTTATTTGTTTGCAAACAGGCATGAATTATAAAAACATCAATTATCGAATAGTAAATTGATAGAATATAACCGTTTTGGTGTAATCATCCGCAAATTCCATCATCAATTTGGTCATTTTTATGGAAATTCCATTAGTAACTGAAAATAGATATATGAAACAAGCGACAACAACAGCGCCATTCGATTATGTGAACCAAACATTAAATGTCAGTCGAACGAACGACGGATGATAAAGTGAACCGAGCGCAGGGCTGTCAAAGTCGAATTCATTCTTATTGGCTTTTTTTGGTGCGATATGAATTTGGCTTTAAAAAAAAATGTGAAAACCGAAATTGATTTTGAAAACGATAATTAAATTTAAATTCATTGTAATTTGCTTAAAAGGTGTTCAGAAAATAGAAAAATATATTTTATCTCATTTAAAAGCTCCATGACATCCAATTGACAGCGCAATGTTGGACAGCGCAAGTCCTCCCCACAACCGATGAGAGCCACTTTGAAATGTCTTAGACAAGTGAGTGTGTGTGCGTTAGAGTAGTATGGATACCGTATGAAACAGACGAGTTCGACTATATGCATCGACATTGCAATTGGTTGTATTGAATGAAGAAAAAAAAAAGTTGAGAGTAGAGATTTCATTTCAGTAGTCGCCATTTTGCAGAGCTCCGCGTATTGAACGTCAAGTCAAGTCAATAGCCAGTTTTTCTCGGGACAGATCTATTTTTTCTTCTCTCACTTTTGGTAAAGTGGCCAGAAAGAGTAAAACTGTGTATGGGATTGTGTGTGCAAAGTGAACCGTCGATAGCAAAGGACGAGGAAACAAAAAAAGAGAAAAATAATAAATAAATCTGCACCTTTTCGTTTCGTTATCGACAATGTTTAGCAATTTTTCGACCAAAATAAACAAATTGTGAGCTATTTAAATTGTCAAATTAATCGGCTGATAAACAACAATCAACATACAGCTAATATTCGATTACCACCAAGCAACACGAAATACGGGAGCCAAGCTGTCAAATTATTGAAAAACAAAAAAAAAACGAAAGAAAAGTGAAATTGCAAGACTTGAATTCACTTGTTCGGAATTCTTATTTGAATTCCAATTTGAAAAAGAAATTCGAAGGAGACTTCAACAATTCACAGTCAAATTGAATTACCACCACAAATAAAAACGTGAACATATAAAGTGATTGAAATTCAAGCAAAAATCATTGAACGAAAATCCAAAAAAAACAAGATTTAATTGATTTATCGATAATATTTATCGCCACTTAGATTACTGTTTACTTGTTTGTGAATTTTGACAGCAGAAAAGAAAATTATATCCAGTTTTAGTCGTCATTTAATTTTTATTGCTTATTAACTTTGATTTTTCATAAATATCATCATCATAACCATCAATCAATAAACTATGCAAATATAAAGATTTGACTAGTCGATTGGATCGCCGTAAAAAAAAGAAAAAAAATTCAGTGAACAAATTATTTGGATTAGTGTGTATGTGCGCGCGTGAATACAAACAAAATCATCTACATAATCGGAAGTTCAATTCGAAAAGTTTCCGCGATACAGACACGTAGATAAAGAAAAATCGATTTATTTACTAAAATAAAAGGTGATTCGAAAGAGAGATAGAAAACAAGCCCATTTAAACTAAGCTAGACTCGAAAAAGGATAAAAAAAATTAATAAAAATGGGTAACAACGCAACATCGGCCAATAAAAAGGTGGACGCCGCCGAAAGCGTCAAAGAGTTTCTCGAACAGGCCAAAGAAGAATTCGAGGATAAATGGAAGCGAAATCCAACTAATACAGCCAGTCTGGATGATTTTGAGCGAATCAAAACGCTGGGCACCGGTTCGTTTGGTCGTGTCATGATTGTGCAACATAAGCCGAGCAGCAGTTTTTATGCGATGAAAATTTTGGATAAACAAAAAGTAGTAAAATTGAAGCAGGTCGAGCACACATTAAATGAGAAACGAATTCTTCAAGCCATTTCGTTTCCATTTTTAGTCAGCCTGAAATATCATTTCAAAGACAATTCAAACTTGTACATGGTGCTGGAGTACGTACCCGGTGGCGAAATGTTCTCACATTTGCGCAAAGTTGGCCGATTCTCTGAGCCACATTCACGTTTCTATGCCGCACAAATTGTTCTTGCATTTGAGTATTTGCACTATTTAGATCTTATCTATCGTGATTTAAAGCCAGAAAATCTATTGATCGATTCGCAAGGATATTTGAAAGTAACTGATTTTGGTTTTGCAAAACGTGTCAAAGGACGTACATGGACATTGTGCGGTACACCTGAATATTTGGCGCCCGAAATTATTCTCAGCAAAGGATATAATAAAGCTGTTGATTGGTGGGCACTTGGTGTACTTGTTTATGAAATGGCCGCCGGCTATCCACCATTCTTTGCCGATCAACCGATTCAAATTTATGAGAAAATTGTATCCGGCAAAGTACGATTCCCATCGCATTTCGGTTCCGATCTCAAAGATCTGCTACGAAATCTATTGCAAGTCGATCTAACAAAACGTTATGGAAATTTAAAAGCTGGCGTTAACGACATCAAAAATCACAAATGGTTCGGTTCAACCGATTGGATAGCCGTATTCCAAAAGAAAATCGAAGCGCCGTTCATACCGAGATGCAAGGGCGCTGGAGATACTAGCAATTTCGATGATTATGAAGAAGAAACCCTTAGAATTTCAAGTACTGAAAAATGCGCCAAGGAATTTGCCGAATTTTAGACTCTTATCATTGGAATATATTTAATAAAAATAATTAAAAAACAAAAAAAAAAACAAAAACAAGAAATACATTTAAATATAACTGATAAATGATTTTGTGTTTAATAAACCAACAAAACAAAACAACAAAGTAATAATTAAACAAATTGTGCGTCTGTGTGTTTCATTCGTTTTTATAAATAAAAAAAAGTAAAGTAAAGGAAAAAAATATAATAATAATAATAGTTATAATTATAATAACAAGGAACATAACACTAAATGGACATTTCACAAAACACAACATAATGAATAGTTCAAACTTCGAAAATGGAACCGAATGATAAAGAGAGAGAGTAGTGAACGAACGCCCGACCGCCGCAATTATCACCGCAAAGCGGAAGGCGAATGAAAAGTAAAAGTCATCAATGTGTGTGAGAGAGAAATGCAAATGAGTGCAGCTATGCAAATAACACAAAAAATCCAAAAAACACCACCATGCAGACAAAACCGAAAATCCATTTGAAAGTCAATGCACCACAGATATAGAATAACAATCGAAAATAACAGCAACACCAGCGAAACAAAAATGAATAAAAAAAAGAATCATATATGCACAATACACTAGCGAACCGGTGCTCACACGATGCACCCACGACCATTGGCAACAACAACAACAACAAAAAACTGTCGGATTTATTCAAACAAACAACAAAATACGATGTATCAGCACCAGCCGGATTATGCATATTTCAAAATGTAAGCATACGATTTTTTCACAAGCAAAACCCAAAAAAAAAAACAAAACATTTGAACTGATTTTTGGCTTTCGACACAACTAAATGTCATTCAACTTTTTAATCTGTATGCGTGTATCACTCACTCACTTACAACCATTATAATCATCATCATGATCGCAATCGACCCATTTAACTCTCTATTTGTCCAGTTGTATGTGTGCGCTTCTCTCACCAATCATAACTGCATCATAATAGTATAATAATTTAAGGATTCACCTCAATATACAAATATAATAATCATATATGACATTCACCATTGACACATTAATCGACATATCTAACATACAAATCAAAAGAGTTTATAATAAAACACATCGTAAAATAAGTAACAAACTACACAATTACATACACAATCATGCAATCAGCAAAGCTTATGCAAAATATCACCTTTAAAAGAATCCTGAAAACTATATAGATACTAGGCATTGACATTGACTGTGCACCAATAAAACCATCTAAATAGACTAATCAAATTTATTGAACATACACGATCAAAATGAACCGAATTGAACTGTTGTTTCGTTATTCGCATGAAAAGTCAGAAACTGAACCAAAAAAAGCTGCTTGATTTGAAACAGCGAATTTTGCGAGAAAATCAAGAAAGACATCGAAAACAGAAAATAAACAATTCGCGAGTATTTGTGAATGCGTCAAATAATTGTTTTGACTCAAAAAATGTGTGTTGCGTGAATAATGAAATATTGTTCAATGTATCTGAGAGCAATAAAAATTGTTTGTCGTGATCATGTGAGTGTGTTTTAAAGAGCACGTGACATACCAAATAAAATAAAGTATTTTAACCACTTTAAATAATGACAAAATCAACAACAGCACCCGCGCTCTTTTTATTTGACTCACAGTGTTTTCTGGCAGTGCACCATCCTGTTTTCGTCCATATTGACGGGAATTCCGATGCGAATGTGTTGCCAAAATGAAATAATTGGCGTCCGGAATAAACCATAATATAAACAATGCAACCATTTCCCTTCTCACTCTGTGCCATTGACGCAAAGTGCTTGGCCATTCAATTTGATTCAGACGAGATTTAAATGTAAACCCAGAGATTTGTGGTGTGGTGACAAAATGTTCGTAATATGTTGGTGTGTCAGCTCTCTCTCTCTCTCTGTGTATGTGTGTTAATGATAGAGGAGCGCTGACCATGCAAAATAGAAGTCAAGCGATAAATTGAACTTCAGCCACAATCTAACATTCACACCAAACTACGGGTGGACAATGGCAATGAAAGAAATTTAATCGATGTAATGGCCCTTGACGATGTTAAAAACAGGAAATAGCATCAAACCATCAATTGATAGTAACAAAACCGAAAACGGTCATTATCACCGACATAATAATTATTTTGTGATTTTGTCAAGCAACCATTGTTTCATTCACGACTGAAAATCGATTATTATGTTTTCTCCGAAACGAAATTGCACTTATTAGAAAAATAGAATTGAAAGACAATCGTGTCTTATCATGAGTGAATATTTTCGGAAATTTACCAGGCAAAAGAAAATCAATTGAAATTTTACGCCACAGAATGTACATATTTCCGTGCCATAAATCGATTTCGAAAAGGAAAAACCACAAATTAAATATTAAATCCTTTTTTTCGGAAATGATCACAGAAAATATCACGAGCACACGTACGCCACACTGCCACCAGTCAATCAATCATGAGCTCAGCTGTGTCGTGTGCAATTCAACCGGGCAACCGAATGAAAAAAAAAACATCGAATTTTAATGAAATTATTTTATCACACGCGTTCGCCTACTCATCAAGATATTTGCGAGAAAATCGAGAGAAAAAAGGAGCACACGCATACGAAAACAAAGACGACGGAATAAAAAACGTCTTGAGCGACTTTCATCGATACCGTAGAGAGGCCTGATTTCTGAAAGAAAGAAAAATAAAATATTTCGTGACGAAAATAGAATTTTCAGTCTGGGTTAAAGAACAAGAGAAACATCGCGATGAAAAATTTCTTGGAGGTATGTTATGTTCACATATTTTAATCTCTTCTTACCTCCCCCCTCTAACTTTCTCCAAAGAAAATAATTACCGAAATCTCCTTCGTAATATTCCGTCGTTTAATTTATTATGAAAGATTATTTTATTTTCCATAGATTTCCGTATGAAAAACAGTGCCCAGTACATAATTTCGTATTCATTTTGTTCATTCTTAAATGTCGGTGTGTTATTAATTAGTTTACATTTCCATTGATTTATTGACCTGATGGACATTTCTATTTGTAAATGGGCGTGTGAGCCAGACAAAGTACATTTTTTTCGCTCTTATTGTGTCATCTTCATTTCGAGTTAAAGCCGAATTCATTTGTCTGTGTGCATGGTACAAACCTGAATGGAAAATTCGACCTTGAATCGAGCAATCGTGTGTGTGAGCGTCTCATATCGAAGAGAAAGAAAAAGAAGAAGAAGCCATATCGCACCGAATAATAAATAATTCCACAGATGATTCAATCAAAATGAAATGAGCCGAACAAATACGAATGAAAAATGTATAACAATTATATCCAAATATAGAAAACAAAAAACTCGAACAAAATCATTCGAAAGAACCGCTTTCTCAGCGATACATTTCATCGCGAAAACAATCGAACAATGACGTTGAGCCGCATTGAATTTGAGTTGGCGTTTATGTAACTACATTTTATCGGCTTCGCAATAAGCATCTCCAGTGTGTGTGTATGCAAACAGTGTTGTTGGTTCAGCCATCAGAGCCAAGGCTCATCTCCCTTTCGCTTTGCAAATTCCTTATCACGGTAGTGCTGCCGCTTCAAATTGCAAGTGAGAGCGATTTATTCTTTTCGCTTTTTTTCGATTATTAGAACAATGTCGAGTGCGTATTTCGATGGAATACAAAACAAAACGACAACAACAATAAAACATTGACCACGATCCATATCTACAAATTCTTCAACGGTATCACGGTTATAACTGGCTATAGTATGCATTGGGTGGACTTTATACATTTGTATATATATAAATATACACATTATACTGGTCGAATTCGGTCGATATTTTGAGTTAGCGTGACGTCAGCATACCGAAAACAATCCATCCAAAAAAAAGCAGTATAACGACTCTCATATACACATTTTGCTGATAAAACGCCATAATCTGCACTCTCTCTTTCTTAAATGTGGAGACACACCGTTGACTCGCACGTTTTCACATCGCTCCTCCGGTTCATTTTGATTGTGTACTCCGAAATTTTTGGTGTGTGTTTTTATGTGTATTTTTTTCTGTATTGATTTTCCTCATTGCCATTGAGCAGTAGTGTTATTGTTGGTGTTACGAATTTTATCAAGTAAATTTTTCTTCTCTCTCTTTCTCGCACGCTGTTTTATGTGTTTCTTTCTAAATACTATATAGACAATGTCTAAATTCTATGCAGCGTTTTTTCTTCTCTCTTATATTCTCCTCCGTTTTGCACGAATATTTGTATATACACATGTATATGTAAAGGAATTCTTTACACGTACGAAAAATTCTTATAAACGCTACAACAAATCTTAACATGTATATATATGTACGGGCCGCCAACTGAATTGCCGCATAAAAACAGAAGAAGACGGAAAATTATAGCAAAAACAATGATAAAAAAAATGATCGCAAATTAGAAAATTGTGTACTTGAAATGGCACAGTGGCGACGACAACGCATTTTTTTTTTCATTTCGTCGGAGTCGTCATTTTAATTCCGTCAATTGAAATAAATAAATGGTTTTAATTCAACTTTCAAACAAGTGGAAATAAAGTTACTTCTTATCGTGAATTCTAATTACAATGTGTCCCCTCGATTTCGTGGAAAATAATTGCACAATCCGACATTGAGAATGATGGCAAGCCATTTGCAAGTACTTTCGCTCTCGCTCTCACTCTCTCAGTCAGTCTTCTGTGCATTTCATTCAAATGGACGATATATTTTCTTCGTAACAAAATAGATTAATCCAAATGTTACCCAAATGAATCAGTTTGAAATGTACAGAAATTTTGCAACATTTTTGAAAATCGTATTATTTTGAAAATGCCCTGAAAGGATGACGTATTTCCCAATTCAATTCAGTAAGCATTTCATATTATTCCATTTACTGATATGACTGCATTCGCCCTTCGTTCAGATGAAATATATCGAGCTTTTTGTTAGCTGATGATATGGAGTGAAGCAGCGAGCGCAAGAGGAGATGAGAGTGTCATGCTCATCACACTATCATTGCCAGTAATCATTGTTCCATTTATTTCATTGTATAATTAAATTTTTTATTATAGATTTAGAATTTTCAATGGATTTACGCTCTGTTAGTTTCATG